TGCCTGTCTCTCCGGCCCTGCGCGTGGAACAGGTAGCACTTCTGAGAAGGCTACCTTGGAGGTCCTGGACCTAAGTTTCCTGCCCAGCATCCTAAATTTCTCCTCCAGGACCTCACGACTGCATTTCCCCACATCGTTGGTGCCGACATGCACCACGACCACTGGCTCCTCCCCAGCACTATCTACCAGCCTATCTAAAACACGCGTAATGTCCGCTACCTTTGCACCAGGCAGGCAAGTCACCATACGGTCAGTACGCGGGTTCGCCACCCAGCTGTCTACCTGCCTAAGGATCGAATCACCCACTACCAAGAGCCCCCCTCCCACCCTGCTCAGGGATGGTTCCTTGGTGCAAAAGGAGAGCCGCTCACCAGCTGGGGAAGAGGTCCCTTCTGAGGGCACATTCCCCTTATCCTCAGCATGGTGCCCTGTTTCCCCTAGACCCTCATGCTCCCTGACAGCAGCGGGGCTGCCAGATCCAGAGTGGGACGTAGCTAACAAGTCCCCGAGAGTCTTTTCTGTGTGCCTAGCTGACTGTCTCTGCTTCTCCAGGTCAGCCACCTTGGCCTCAAGGGAGCACACACGTTCCCTGAGAACCAGGAGCTCCTTGCACCGAGCACACACCCAAGACTTCTGCCCAGTGGGCAGATAGTCATACATGTGACACTCTGTGCAAAACACTGGATAGCCCCCAACCCCCTGCTGGCAATCCTCTGCCATTGTATCTAACAGTATGTCACAGACAACTTTTAGTACTATTCTACACCAGTTCACCGGAAAACTCTCTCTCTCTGCCAGTCATTTAAGCAAGGATCTTCCACAAACAGTGGCTGAAGGTCCGCCAAAAGCCAAAAATGTTCTGCTGCCCATGAATAATCATAATGGCAATATTTCAGTTCTCTCCCCATGGTGTGACTTACAATGTGCCATGTAATATATGAAATGAACAAGAGTTAACTATTTTCTCTTTTTCATTTTTACTGTTACTTTTTTCTTTCCTTTGCCTATGCAGAAAACCAAAATCAGAACTTTCTTGACTGTGCCTCCTTGAATGCAGGAGACACCACCATGCCCACAAGCGGCCAAACCACCTTTGTGCATCTCCCCCAAAAGTGGGCTCCCACTCTGATTCATATTGGGAATACTGACATTCTGCCCCTTGGCCAACACTGGTTAAACCCAATGCAAAACAATAAGGCAATCCTAAATTGTTATGAAGCTGAGGCAGGCAGCCTTGAAATTTTGGCACGCCAGACAGTTGCCTACGTTGCCTCTATGGTAGGGCTTACCCTGCAGTTCACAAATGACAATCACAAAAGCAGTCCCCCCCCCCAAGACTCCTCAGTGGGTATTTCCGGTGCTTTTATATTCCTTTGCTGCAGCCTTCTCACTACATTCAAGAGACTAACTAGACATTACAACAGCACGACCCATACCATAGCGTGAATTGTGGCAATTTGATATAAAACTGGGGGGAGGGTCAATTTAAAGTGCTGCCTGGGTAACCCTCCCCCAATGCTTCTCCCCAACCACTTTTCCCCACTATGAATTACTTCTGTTGTCAAAGCCTCGGGGAAGGGCAGTTTTGGGGTGAGAGGACCTGTCCCAGCACCTATCTGTTCTTAAATTTTAAATTTCAGTCTATATATGCATCCTAGCAGAAGCAAAAAACAAAATCCTTCTAATAATTTAAAATGTAATTTATACACAAAGAACAATACATTCCTTTATGTAGTGTGGGAAACATTTTCACAATTATTACAAATAAAAATGAAGAGTAGGAGATCTGTCACAGCATGTACAGTCAAATTCAGTAGATTTCCTATTTACACTTTTTAAAATTGCAGTTTTTATTTAAAATAATACATGATAAAATAGAGGAAACTAAAACCTAATAACAATCTTGATTATGAGAACATTCTGATTTAAATGATTATGTTCAATATATATAAGCAAATAACTGTGCCATTCTTGCAAAGTTACTCCAGACTAAATCTATTGATTTTATTGGGCTTAGATTGGAGTAACTCTGCACAGGACTGCACTGTTAATACCCTTTCAAAACAGCATTTTCCATGCAACGTTTGTTAAAGTGAAAAAGTCAACACAATCCTACTAAACTTCTAAAATAAAAGTCCACCTACAGAATTATTCAAGGTATTACCTGGATACAGTTGATAAGAGCCACTATGATGCCATTTAACCAAATACTTCCAACCATTCACTGAAAACCACCCTTCTGTATCCATACCAAACGCAGGTATAATCTCCTAGAGGACATTTGGTAGATGATCTTTCAGCTGTTTGGCACATTATTCTTCTCTAATGCGTCCTAGTATACTACTGTGCTGTCCTCTGAAGGCTCTTCAACAGATTACATATTTTTGAGCTGATCCGCTATTTTCTCTTACATCCACAAGATACACCATCAATACACTTAACAAGAAACATTATAAAATACGACATCAATAATTTAAAGAATGGACCTTTCACTGCTGCTGCTAAAGGAACATGAATTATTCACATTATACTGGAATGAAACTACAGCAGCTGCACTTTGGCAGGGTAAGAAATCGAAGACAACTTATAAATCAACACTGCTAAGTTACTTTTCCTGGTAGTCAACCAAAGAAAAAAAGCACATATTGAGCTTGAAAAGAAAAATGTGTGTGTGTGTGTGTGTGTAGCTGTTAAAATGCTAGACTAGGGCTGCGGAGACCTGTTTTTCAATTCTCTACCTAGCCAAGCTCCTCACTCACTGGCCAGTCACTGTCAGCCCAACTTAGTATGAAATGGAGGTGGATGTAAGAGAAACATCACAGAACCCCTTGCAAAGATGGATCTTGTATGCTGCCTAGACCCCCTTGGAGGAAAAATGGGAAAAATATGATTGATAGGTCTCAAACCCATCAGTACTTCACAAAGAAAGTAGGGACATGCCAGTAACCACGCTGATCTCTGCACAAGCTAGCAGAAGTCTGGTAGAGGGCAGTTTTTACCGGGAAATGACATGACTGGAAGACTTAACCCTTCCTTCTCTGGCACCATGGCCTGATCTCCTCCCACTTGCATGTGAACTGTTTTTTTGGTTTTTTTAAAGATCTGGCTATGAACTGGGAGATCCAGTCATAGATCCCTAATGTGGCTTGCTCTTATACCCATACACAGGCAAGAAACTGGGAGATGGCTAGAAATCGGGAGGTGAGGTGAGGTGAGGTGAGTCACTGGTTTATGACCTCAACAAAAAGGGTAACTCAGGCTGGCTGAGTAAGCAACAAAATGAAAACTTCTCTGCTGACCTAAAGGAATGTAGCCTTGACCCCATCCAGTCAGGCTGCTGGGATTCCACAGAGGCACAGAAAAGCCACAAACAGCATCTTTCTAAGAAACATGCTGCATAACACCTAAGGAATTTCTGACGGATGCATCCATTCAGGGCACAGAGCTCTGCTCACTGAAGTAACAGCTATGGCAAGCATTCAACTGGGCACTTCTCACCATCCCACATTCCAAAACTGGGCAGGGTTACTCACTGGCAAAATCATGAGTATGAGTTCAGTGCAGTCTGTGCCAAAGAGTATGAGGCTGTTTTAAAAAGAGATTTGCACAGCTCCAAACCATGCCGGGTCTTTAACAAGTGGATACTGACACTGGTATCAGATCCCCCCCCCCCTGGTTTTGAATCTTTGAGAACCAGAAAAAGTTATTAGATGGACAGGAGAGGGCAGCCAGACACCCCTCCATCATGCCTGGATCCAGTTCGAGGTGAGAACCCCCACTCACCCAGAAGTATTTTATGCTACGTTTTAATTGCTGTGGAGTCCATTTTTGCCCCCAAGTAAGATAACTGCCAACCTAGCAGTTCAAAAGCAAGAAATTGCAAGTAGATAAATAGGTACCACTTCAGTGGGAAGGTAACAGCATTCCGTGCACCTCGGCGTCTAGTCGTGCCAGCCACATGACCACGGAAACGTCTTCAGACAGCGCTGGCTCTTCGGCTTGGAAACAGAGATGAGCACCGCAACCCTAGAGTCGGATTCGACTGGCTTTCGAGCAAGGGAAACCTTTACCTTTAAGATAAAATGTAATAAACAAAAAAGGGGGAAAAAATCCTCCAGATCGTGTAGTGCTGGGAGAGGGTGACCGTCTCCTGCTGGCATAACCTCTCTTTGGTGATCTGCAGCACCATCATGCTCTGTGATTTAGGGCTAGCAGAGAGATTTAATGCCCCACATGCCACGCCGTGCCATGCTGTACAGCTCAGGCTTCCCCAGCCCTCCTCCTTGGCACCACTGTTTCCCTCCCATAAATAATCTTTTCAGAAGACCAGGCCCTCCCTGCCTGTTCTTATAGGGCTCCAAGCTCATTTATCTACAGTGGAGGTGTCTGAGGTGGAAAGACAATGGATTGTCCAAGGCCACCCACTAATTTCATAGCTGAGACAAGGTTTTGAACCAGGAACTTCCTGATACATGGCCCATGCTCTTAATCTCTGTACTACAATAGTTCACCAGATGACTAAACTTCCTGGCCCAGACAGCTCACCTTTCTGAGCCATTTGTTCAAACAGTCAACCTGGCACAGTCCTTGAAACCAGACAGCTACCCTACTCCATTTGCTGGTGCCCATTCTGGGCCCCATTTCTGAACGACTGGCCTACCCCCTCATGGCTCTCTTGCCTTAAAACTTGAGGGTCATGGAAGCCTAAATAAATAAAGGACAATTGTGTTAAACTAGAGCAGATTTCCAGCTGTACTTTCACCCATCAAGCAATCAAGGATGGAAAATTTTATCTCATCTATAGTCACAGAACCATGACAAAGCCAATGTCCTCTTGAACACCAGTCCTCAGCACGTAAAATCCTTGGATTTTTGGGCAGCCTAAAAGATTACCAAACAAACAAGTATTGACACTATGTTATCCATTGCCATAGCAGCTAATTAAAGAACTTTGGTTCTTTTCACACATTAATGCACTCCCCCAGGAAGCTTGAGCTTACCTCCATCAGACACAGCTGCAGACTGCAAAGAGAGAAAAAGAGAAACATGAGTTACACATAAGCCCCCATAAATAATGAGCATAGCTGGCTAACAGAAGCAAATGGTCAGTCTTCACATTGCAGCATGAAAGCCATCAGCCTAAGGACAGAGTCAGAAGCACAGGAGGCTGTTTTTATACCCTCTGAAGTATTTGACCATGACTGGACTTGATACAATTCAAAAGCACACAAGATCAAATTCCGGTTGCATCTCGTCGTGTGGCACAGAGAGGCTGAAGTGTCTGATGGGGATCTGGGGGGTCCTGGTTCAAATCCCCCCTCCGCCATATGGGGCCTTGCTGGGTGACCCTGGCCAGTCAGTCACACCCCCACTCAGCCTTTTCTGCTCAATCTTTATCTATCTCATCCTCATTCTAAAAGAAAGAGATTCCCAGCCTCCAAAATTCACTAACACCAGAATTACTCTTTTATTGTAGCTCTTACATTAGCAGGCTGCACGATTTTGCCATCAGCAACCCCTGATGTTTGTTGCAGGCACATCCCCACAAATGACCAACTAGGTCCTCATGGTGCAGGGGTAAGTCCCATGTGCCTTCGTTTCGTAATTTCTATAAGGAAGTTAAAGACCATGCAGTTGCTCCACTCCTGGCTTTGGTATGTGGCCATTCAGTAGGACCAGGGGTCGTTTCGTAGAAAAAGAGCTAGGGGAACTCATTAGCATAACTCATTAGCATATGCCACACCCCCTGACATCACCGGAAGTGTGTCATAAGGCCACACCCCCTGACATCACCGAAAGTGTGTCATAAGGCCACACACCCCGCCCCCAACGGTCCCGGCCGCCACCGCCGGCCTTGCAGCTCCACTGCCGAGCCCCATGAGAGGCCCGGCGGTGGACCTGCAAGGCCGGCGGGAGTGCAAGGAAGCCCCGCGAAGGCCCTCCCTGGCCCCAGGCAGGCAGGGGTGGGGAGAGGCAGGGAGGAAGCAACTTACCCTCCCTCTTTTCCTGCCTCCTCCTGGCTGAATGAGGGCCGGAAGCAGGGCGGCCGGAAGCAGGGGGCGGGGCTTCATCATGTGCCCCGCCCCCCGTACCTCACCCGGGGGAACGGCGATCCCCCCCGAAATGGCCTCTGAGTAGGACAGTCAGCCTTCCTGGTGTTGGGGAGAACATACATATCCCTGGAACAATGGCTCTCTTTTTCAGTGTAGCCACTGAGACTAGATGTTGGATGCTGAAAGAACTCTACCAATCAAACATTTACAATTGCTATATTTTGTTTTACTGATTGTATCATTGCATTAAAATAAAACTGTTGTTGCTAATGACTAAAAGGAAAGGCAACTGAACTGGGCAGGATGTTACAATTTTTACAGTTCCTGGTTTATTTTCTTTTGCTCTGGTCATTTCTTTTAAAAAGGTGCATGGCCATCCCTGAGGCCAGGGGACAAAACTTGTGATCAGAACTCATGCCACCAATGGAACAGGCGATAAAAGAGTCTGTACATTTCATCATTTTAAAAATGTGATGAGTGGAACCACAAAAGGTTCTACAATTTCAGTGTCTTTTTAATGACCCAATCACAACTCTGGATACAGCCTGGCTTCTCCTGCAACACAGCTGATTTTGTTAGCTGATTTGGTTTGCCACAGAATGCAAAAACAGCTGCAACGTACAACACGTATGTAGAAATGTACTTTATTTAGCAAGGCACAACCTGACTGTGACTCTGTAGAATATATAGCCCAAATGCAAAGCTGCTTTGCTGCACTGTTTGAGCGGAACACTTGAACCACCCCATGGGCCTGGGGAGGGGGCAATGACCTGCTGCAAGTGAGTAAGTTTGACCATAGTCACATTCAACTGGCAATTATGTTCATTTTGAAGCTTTCAGCCTTCCTGTTAATTGTTCTTGCTTATTTTACCACATTCAGGCCAAAAATGTTATTTTGCCCTGTCCCATTTTTAAATTAAGTTAGCCAGACAAAAAGTTTAAACCAGATCGTAAACAAAGCAATCAAAACATTAAAACTCTTAATTTTTAAAATATTCTTTAAATAAAGTGAAGCTTAAGCTTGTATGAGACATCAACTGAAAACTTCTTTGACTCACTCAAACATGATTTCATTCATTATATTGAGAATGACTTATATGAAAGCCTGCACACTGAGAGTTTTTGCAGGATACAAATGTTGTGAATAAATATATAAATAAATAAATAACATTACTTTCAACTATCTGAAAACCTCTTTCCAGCATTAGGCTATCTTTGTGGAAGAACCCATTCTCTACATAGGCCCCGGTCACACAGGCCGGATATCGCGGGGGGAAGGCATGGCTAATTGCCCCGGCGCAGTTTGATCCGCAATCATGCGATCAGACGTGCCGGCGGCACACCACCAGTCCTTCCCTCGGCACCGGCGGGTAAATGAGGGACCGGAGGGGAATGCCGCACGCCGGCGCGATCACACCACGGGCGTCTGGAGGCAGCCCGTGGCAAACGTTTACTAGTACCTTGGAGGTACTAGTTTTTTAACTCGCATTGTCGGCGGTAAGCCATGAGTGCGCTCCACTTCCCAGATGCTGGGGTGTGATCGCGCCTGGATAATCTACCCACCATCCGTGCCTCTCCCGCGGCAACTTTGCCGTGTTACCGGGGCCATACTTTGGCATTCTGACATTGTCTTGAAAATCACTTCCATCTATGAACTAAGTTTTCAATAAATTTTAAAATCTTGCATGGAATATGTTTAACTGATTTCCATAAAATAACCTAAACCTGACCTACCACAAGCATTTATTTTCTGGAGCCCAGAATGCACATAATTAAAGGCAAACACATCTCAGAGCAAGGTTTGAGACCAGCAACACCTTTAAGATCAACCAAGTTATAAAATTTTGTTCTGCTGCTTCAGACCAACACGGCTACCCACCTGAACACATCTGAGTGTTAAAGTTAAGACCATACCAATACCAAAATCACTGTAAACAATGTTACTCAGGGGAAAAAATGTATTCCAAAAGGACTAAAATACATCTAATGTATATATTACAGCTCAAGAACCTATTAAGTTGCACACATGATTGATTTACAGAATTCGCTTCTACACAATATAGCCATAACCACTAGCTTGAGGACAAATTACACATTATGTGAGAGATCCAAGACTAGCACTGCAATACTAAACAGAGTTACACCCTTCTAAATCCTGCAAGTTAACGAGTTTAGAAGTAATTTTAGGATTACACTATAGAGCTCCCAACTTATTTAAACTGAAAGCAACTGAAGGAGGGCCTGGTTTCTGTTGGGATTGTGAGATGGGGTAAGGGAAGGAATTTATTCCTTTTCCCCTGACTGATTCCCAATAACATGCTGCAAGCTTAAATCGCCATTAGCCCCATTAGAGAAAGAAGTCAGGAACAAGGCAGGTGCCTTCTCTTTCCCCCTGTGATGTCGGAGTTAAGGAGCTGGATGTGGGTGTGATTTCTTTTGGAAACACAGCACAGCATGTGTGGTTAACCCTCCCCCCTGTCTTAGTACAACTGCCCCACTCCCACAGCTGCTTTGTCACATTAAGAAATGTGTCAGGAAACCTGATCACAGCTCTCCTACACATACCATGCAGCTTGGCCTTAGACAGCTTTATGCAAACAAGCCAGATAAAAGCGATTAGCTATGCTATCTACATTGAATGTTCATGTAGGGGGGGGGAGCAGTTATCTGTAGGGTTGCCAACAGCCTCAAGAAAAAAAATGCCTTGTCCCTTGAGTGAAGGCTAAATGGGATAGTATTTACCTCCAGGCCAGGAAAAGCTTCAAATGCCCATTTTCATGCACTAAATTTCTATTAAAGGAGCAGTATGCTTTTTTCTCTCCAGGCTGTTGGCAACCCTTGCTGTTCACAGGGGCAGATTTTGATCAGGAAAGGGAATCCAATGCCCAGTCTATTTCACAGAAGCTCCAACCAGATTTGCAAGCCCCTTCCCCCCATGGTGGCACTGATTTTTTTAAAGTTACTTTTGGAACAGACCTCCTGGTGCCCTGCCTAGTTTGGCCATTTCCCACACATGACCAAGTCACTGGTTCAAATGCTGTCTCTATGACTGGACTTGCTACAGGTTGCCTTTGGCAAGCCACAATCTCAGCATCTCCTCTGTCAAACTGCTACTACTAACAATAAACCCATCTGGGGATTCGAATAATGGTCTCGCTGACAGGAGTGTTTATTTAATTGATTTAAAATATTTACATCCCACCTTTCTGCAATGCCCAGGTGGCTGTTGTAAGGGTGACAACAGTAACTTATCAAAAATACTTTGACTACCCAGAGGCACTACATGTGAGTTTTTCAGTGTCCTCCTTCTAGCAGAAAGTACTACAACACCCCTGGGAAGTAAACAGCTCTCCCATGCTACACGCCACCAGCTATGAGGAGCTGCTACTGAAAGGCAAAAGTGGGTGACCCAGAGCTTGGCATCCTAGCCACGGTTTAAATTTCCTGGATTACAGATGGACAACAGAAATTATGATGCAGATTACATTGTCATTGGAATTGTTAAAATTTAATGTCAAATGAAAATGGAAGCTGCATCATGATCTCTACTGTTCATCCATAACCCAGAAAGCTGCAAACAGATTCTGAGACACAGAACTCTTTTGCAGTTATTCTCAAGTGGAAAACTTTCTCTTTAACATTAGCATTAACCATGTAAATATGGGATGACATTCAGAAATACCACTACTATGAAATCAGTGCCTTTCAAGATATATTGTTTTCTACATAATACTTTCACTCCTATGTCCTGTCCCAGATATTACTAAATTTATTTTATTCTGAATTTTAAAAATGTACTGATATTCTGTTAAACAAATTATCTTGTCTTTTTTTAAGAGAGTAGATGACAGTATTTCTTATCTCTTCCTTATTTAAGAGGTGAATCATGTTCCTTTTTCAAAATGAATAACATCAAAGAAATTTTGAGAAGAAGAAATGTACATATGGTGGAGATTTACTCAATAATTA